GCAATTCAAGCACAGCCGAGGGGTGTAAAGTGGGAGGCAGCGGCGGCGGGGGCGAGGCTGAGGGGGTGGGATTCCTGTTCCCGGGAGCGCCATGCACAGCACCACCAGGGTTGCCAGGAAAACGGCCCAGTGGGGGTGGCTGGGGCCCCCAGAAGCTCAGTGCACCACTGTGCGGTCTTTTCCTGACTGACTAGCCTGTTTTTGTGGCTAAGATCTTGAAACAATCCAGCTGTCTTGTGCCCCAAACTACCTTGTATCTCAGTTTAATTAGGGTCAGTGAATGTTTAACCCTGTTTCGTGGAGGGGCATCTGGTCCAGGCCTGGCTCCTGCAGGAGTGACAGTGCAGCCCAGAGCTGCAGACCCTGAAGGGCGGAGGGAAGTTGTTCAACCACAAGGGGGCGCCGCAGGGCTTCCCAGGCGCTGGTCTCCCGAGGTCGCCGCTCTCACAGGAGAGGTGTCTCACTGCCTCCTGGGGGTGGCTGAGTGGGGTGCTGACACGGGGTGGAGGCTGCGTCTCCCACCGCCCGCAAGCCCGAGCATGTGCTGAAGAGCAGCCTGGAGTCTCAGACCGGCGCGGCGTGGTGCGTCTGGTCCGCTGGGCCCACAGTGATGACACTGTGTTTGACGAAGGGCTCAATCCTGAGGATTTCAGTTAGCTTCATTATCTCTTTCCTGTTTCCCCCTTTTCTCCTTCAGAGGGGTGCATACCTGCTCCATCCCCCGTGCCTGTGGCTCTGAGGCTGTGTTTATCTTTTCCGCTCACCTCCAGCTGTTTCCTAAAAAGTCAGTGTCCAGAGTTGTTTCCAGGTGGAGGTGGAATCAGCTCCATCGTCTGTCTGTTCCGCTGTCTCAGGATCTTCCAGCAGGAGGAGGGTGTATTTTCCTGGGTGGCAGCCTTCCCCTTGGCGCTGCCTCCGCCACACACCGCCTTCACCTTGAGGCTGTCACGCTTTTCCCTGCCCCCGCCTGTCATCGGAGAGAGCGGCTCCCTGCCAGGCCTCTCCTTCGGAACTTCATACGGACTTGTTTAACTCAGAAGGAAACTCTTCCCTTCTCAGCCTGTTTTCTTTTTCCAAAGAGCTGCAAGGATGAGGTGGGTGTGTGTGGTGGGGGCCGGGGTGGCAAGGGGAGGAGGACCGGGCCCCGAGAGAAGGGCAGAGCAGCTCTCACTCACTCTCCTCACCCTCCTGTCCACACAGAAGTGCGTTCAGAGAACAGTTCCCAGCGTAAACAGGGCACTGGTACCACTCTGCACTTCATAACCTCAGCACTATCCGAGCGCCTGACAGGACAGGAAAAATCTGTAGAAACAAACTGAAATCTGTCTGAAACGTGGCTTGTGAGAACCTGTAACAAGCTTGTTTATATCAGCTGGAGGAAAGAAGTCATTAATTCAACGAGCTTCTGGCAAGGGCCACCCCGGCGCCCTTTGTGACTGGGGCACAGGGCAGTTGTGGGTTGTGGGACACGGGGTGTGGGGCTGCTTCAGGCTCAGCAGGCCTGGCCTCGCAGACCTCAGGAACAGGTCCTGAAGCAGGTCCTGGGCCCGGGGTGGGGTTCACATCCTTAGTAGGTGTGGGGTCACATGGTCGGCCTCTTGGACCACCGTGGGGACAGATGCCTCTGCCTGGGGCCTCTTCAGGTGTGTAAGGATGGTCCCGTGATCCTCTAATTGCTCAGTGGGAAGTTTTTGTGGAATAACATGCCTGAGGGATGCCCTTTAAAACTGGAAGGATACCTCCGTTCAGCCCCTCATCAGGAAAGAAACTTGAAGGTCTGGTAGGTAAGAATCTGCCTAAAATTGAGGGAAGCACAGACAGGCTTCCAGGGAAGAGGGACTCGCCACACCTCCGCCCGTCAGTACACCTGCGCTGCCACATGGTGTTGGAAGTCACCTTGATGTCCGTCTCTCCCCCGTGATGTCTGCGCCGGGTAGAGAGCGGCAGATCATCTGCTCCAATGATGTATAAGAAGCATCAGTAACAACCACAGCAGGTGCTAAGGGCCGGGTACACATCAGATTACTGCATCCTCACCAGTCATGGGAGGAGGCCTGGAGGTGGCACTAGATCTTGCTCAAGGTTCCCCAGTAAGAGAAGGGTGCAAACCCAGGTGCTGGACTCCAAAGCCGGTGCACTGAGTCCTGCACCGCCTTCCTGAGGCAAGGCACTCTCTCCACCTGAAGCTTTGGAGATCCAGGGCCTCTTGCCTGGTGACCAACTCCCTGGCTCAGGCACACGCAGAAAAGGCCAAAATGAACTAGCTGCACTCTGAAATGGCTCCTTCGGTATTTCAAAATCTTTCCCAGTCCCATTTCCTTGGCTGCTCTAGCAGCCGCTGGGCATTTCCCTTTCTCAG